ATTTCTTGTGTTCTATGTGCTCTAGTATATTTTCAAATTTTGCATTTGTGAAAAATGTTTCGTCCTTCTTATGTTTCTATTTCTTTTTTTGCGGTATTTTAAGTTTTCGTCATTTCAATTCTTTATGTAAGTGTAGGACTTTTGGAAAAGAACATTGCCTTCTTTTGAAGATCTATAGCCCCAAGTTATTGGGTATTTGTGTTTTAGATGAACGATATGGCAATAAAGGTATCATTGTTGTTTTCGGATACTTTTTATTGTTTGGGGTCATATTCTAAAATGGTTAATCTATTGTGTGACCTATTTCGAAATAGTTTGCTCTTTTATCATGTTTGAACTCATTTACTTGGTAGTATAGTGACTGAAGGTGATATTTGTGAATGAAATTACATTTGTTACAAGTTCAACAAGGAATGGTTGCTTCAATCCATTTTCTCTTATGTTGATATCATTATTTTGCCGAAAGTTTTTGTGATTATACCCCATCCGCCCCACCTCCATTATCCGTCTTTTTCTCATTGCTTCCTTGCTTCGCAAATTAGGCCATTAGCAGCTCCTATGCTTAATGTATCAGAATTTGCAAGTCCTCCACTTGTTGAGAAATTCGTTACAAGCCGAGGAGTTGCAAATTCTGATACATTTAGCATAGGAGCTGCTAATGGCCTAATTTGCGAAGCAAGGACGCAATGAGAAAAGACAGATAATGGAGGTGGGGTGAATGGCATGTAATCACAAAAACTTTTAGCAAATTTAGGATAAAAACCAAAGCAAAGTTTTATAATTACGAATGATATGCCATTATAGCTAATGTTATGGTCGCTACATTTATCAAGTTAACAATTTAAATCAGATTTCACCATTCTTGTTCTCTCCATAGGTACACTTTAAGCTTATAAGATTATGGACAATATCTACTACTAGCATTTCATCAACCATACGCAAATTTGTTTAGCTATGTCCCTCCATTGACTTTGTCCTATCACAATCACATGCTTCTTTGATGCGGTAAATGTTGATAGAAGTATGGAATACCGTGACCTAACATATAACATGAAAATTAAGAAGTCAATAGGACATTATAACGTAGATTGCATTTAAGTTTCTATCAATAATGTTACCTTTGGAATTGAATATAAAATGTGTCGACAACGGATGGATCCAATTAGACGAAGGACAAGGAATTGTGAACGAATGACTTCCCTTGTGGCTCTATAGTAAGTAACAAAGAAGTAATGAAAATGCTATAATAAGTATACCAACCACCAAGAGTTGTAAATATGTGAATGGTGAATATGTGGAAGATTCTTCTCGTTAAGCTGCATCAACATGAGGTGCACCCACTGGTATACTGCTATGCCTCGCTGTTGGTCGCTTCCCTTTGCATGTTGAAGGTGCTTGTATGTCCATTTGAAATAAACGATAATTTATTTTAATATTCACTTGAAGTTTGTAGGAAAACAAATCAAAATACCTTTGTCTTCTTCGAAGTCGACTCCAACGGGCTCTCCCTCCGAAGTTTCTAGGTGTGCCATTTCTCTTTACCACTTTAAGATCCAATGCGCTCATGTTGTACGCATTTTGTGAACCAGTACTCTGCGATCCTAAATGAATTGTATGATGACTACAAAATTTTGTTTCCAGTACTCCATTTTTTCATCAAAAACTCTTTAGACTAAACTTGTATCCATTCCATTATCGCACGGGTCCGTACTTCAACATGTGCCACAAGGTTTACCACCTCGGCGAAAGCTTAACACATATGTCATACTTCAACTATCCCACGCATTTTGTGAACCAGTACTCTGCGATCCTAAATGAATTGTATGATGACTACAAAATTTTGTTTCCAGTACTCCATTTTTTCATCAAAAACTCTTTAGACTAAACTTGTATCCATTCCATTATCGCACGGGTCCGTACTTCAACATGTGCCACAAGGTTTACCACCTCGGCGAAAGCTTAACACATATGTCATACTTCAACTATCCCGGAGTACTTACTAGATCATCATATTTTATTGCGATCCTCGTGTACAATCAATTGACATCCCTCATTCACCTACAAAGTACATACTTAGTAGGTAGTATAGTGACGTCGTTACGGATTAATACTATGATCACATGCCTGCAAATGATTTAGTGAAACTCGAACAAGTGGTAACTACAAACAACTTCACGTTTATCTCTCTGAAACAAGACAAAATGTTTTCTTTTCACGTCGATCGATGCAAACGACGTTTTCTCGTACCTCATATGTCGTCCCAAAACATCCCTCAGAGGCAGATATGAGGTTGCGGTAAACCTTATCCGTAAACTCAGCTAGAACTTTTTTGAATTTTGAAATTGTGTAGACTTTTTGAAATTGCTTTTCCATTTCATGTGTTGTTGCACTCGGAACCATTGGAGAGAACGACTTGAAATTAGCATGGAGCTCCTTCTCCACCTTGTTCCTCAATGCTCACTCATACTGTTCAACAATTCGTTTCAACGATGTCTTCGAGTGCAGGTACCCATTGAAAAATACGTTCATGCTCTCACTTGGTTGACCCAATCCAAAAATTTGTTTTTAAGAAGCAAAGGACACAACGACCTTTGTTCTCATATAACCCCGACAACCATTTGTTATCATGCAACTCAAATGTTTAGATCATCGATCCCCGACCTTGTTCAAATTCTTCAACCGTCTGACAATCCTACACCTAACCATTTATTACTGAGAATATTGAACCTTTATTGATGTGGTACCCAAATTTTTCAGGCAACTTCTTCAGAATGTGTCATTAGCACCATCTATACTTTGTATTTAAGAAAACTACCTGAATGACATTTGCATTGCCATGTCTTGATCAATAATTATTTCATGTGGAGCTTGATCGTGCATACATTTAAGTCATGTCCTAAAAAACCACACAAATGTATCCGTGCTTTCATTAGAGACTAAACCACTACCGAACAATGTTGATTGTCCATGGTGTTTGACGCCAACAAAAGGTGCTAAAGGCATGTCATATTTGTTAGTCAAGTAAGTGGTATCAAATGTCACGACGTCCCCAAACTCCTTATATACTTCCCTATATCGATTATTTGCCCAAAATATATTCTTAAACTCGAGTTGTTGTCCAAATCCATACAGAAGTAAAATCCTGCAGACCGTGCTTGCATATTTGAAAAATAGGACTATATTGCTCCTGCATTTCCTTCTCCAAGGCTTAATTGCCTAACTTGTTTAATGTAGTTTCTACAATATTTTTCAATGCATGTCATATTTTCATATCCATCGACTTCGACAACTACAGAATTGAAATTTTTGTATAATGGAATTCCAGCCATGTCATTCACTTCAAGCTTCTTTTTCACATCGCACTTAGTTATCAATTGCATCAATACAATCTCCACTTCGTTGGACTTGTTTTGTGATTGTGATCGAGGTGTACCATATTACTTCTCTAGTAACCATGATTATCTGCAGACATAGAGACCCTGGCTTTACAACCCATTCGAATTGTAGGCTGTGGCTTCAAAGAACCGCTTGTGTTACGTTTTTTCAACCTCTACATGTGAAAGTCACGTATCGCAAAACTCCATCGTCATCCTTTCTCGAATTCCTTTTTCTCATTGAAAAACCTATGTTGTAAGCATATAACTTGTAAAAATCAAAGACTTCATTTTTGTTCTTGAACTTCATACCAACCTCTGGCACAATCACTCCATCTCCCCCCACCGTTTGACTTTCAACTACATTCATATTGTACTCCATGTTGACATTTTCGAAGTCCATCAAAGAATTACTTTCCACTTTTTCCATCATCTATTCTCCCAAGACAAAATTAGCGGACACTTTCAATAAAACATCACTTCTCCATAATATAACATTTCCAGCAAAACAATGATATCAACATAAGAGAAAATGGATTGAAGCAACCGTTCATTGTTGAACTTGTAACAAATATAATTTCATTCACAAATATCACCTTCAGTCACTAAACTACCAAGTAAATGAGTTCAAACATCTTTAAACAGCAAACTACTTCGAAATAGGTCACACAATAGGTTAACCATTTCAAAATATGACCCCAAACAATAACAAGTATCTGAAAACAGCAAGGATACCTTTACTGCCATATCGTTCATATAAAACACAAATACCCAATAACTTGGGGCTACAAATCTGAAAAGAAGCAATGTTCTTTTCCAAAAGTTTCATACTTACATAAATAATTGAAATGGTGAAAACTTAAAATACCATAGGAAAAGAAATAGAAACATAAGAAGAACAGAACATTTTTCAACAAATGCAAAATTTGAAAATATACAAGAGCGCATAGAATACAAGAAATGCACAGCACCTAAAAACCCTTTCAGTAAAAATTAATTGAAATCTAACCCTTTCTATCGAAATTAATTGAAATTTTGGACCTAAAAACCTTCAAAAGAGGGAAGAGATTACCATAAAAGCCCAGATTCTTCAAAAGCAGGCAAGGTTCTCTTTGATTAATCACATACTTTTACCAAGAACACCAATGGAAATCATCGAGATACAAAACAATCAAATATACAATGGATTGTTTCACACCGTCAAAAGAATTCCGGGAAAAAATCAAGCTTGGACTATTCCAAATAGATTTTGAAACAAAATCTTACCAGAGAATCATTGAGAAACGAGAGAAAAATTCAAAGTCGCAGATGAATGGGTGAGAATGAATTAGGGGCTTCGGTTGAGTTTTATTTTTATTTTCATTTTTTCTATTTTTATTTTTTTCCCTTCCGATAGAAATGATGCCTCTAAAACGATTTCCTCCCTTATTGAAGTGGATTTCTTGGAAAAGTCCTTTTTTTTTTTTTTCATCTTAGCTGTCCACGCTCACTACTTCCCAGCCTTACACGTAATGTTGTAAACCAATGTTATAACACCATGTTGTACAAGAAACATTTTTCGAGAATCTTTTTTTTTTTTTTTTTTTTCGTATCTCAGCAATTTCCATTGATGTTCTTGGTAGCATTATGTGATTAATCGGAGAGACCTTACCTGCTTTTGAAGAATCTTGGTAATCTCTTGCCTCTTTCGAAGGTTTTGAGGTCCAAAATTTCAATTAATTTTTATAGAAAGGTTTAGATTTCAATTAATTAGTACTAAAAGTGTTTTTAGGTGCTGTGCATTTCTTGTGTTCTATGTGCTCTAGTATATTTTCAAATTTTGCATTTGTGAAAAATGTTTCGTCCTTCTTATGTTTCTATTTCTTTTTTTGCGGTATTTTAAGTTTTCGTCATTTCAATTCTTTATGTAAGTGTAGGACTTTTGGAAAAGAACATTGCCTTCTTTTGAAGATCTATAGCCCCAAGTTATTGGGTATTTGTGTTTTAGATGAACGATATGGCAATAAAGGTATCATTGTTGTTTTCGGATACTTTTTATTGTTTGGGGTCATATTCTAAAATGGTTAATCTATTGTGTGACCTATTTCGAAATAGTTTGCTCTTTTATCATGTTTGAACTCATTTACTTGGTAGTATAGTGACTGAAGGTGATATTTGTGAATGAAATTACATTTGTTACAAGTTCAACAAGGAATGGTTGCTTCAATCCATTTTCTCTTATGTTGATATCATTATTTTGCCGAAAGTTTTTGTGATTATACCCCATCCGCCCCACCTCCATTATCCGTCTTTTTCTCATTGCTTCCTTGCTTCGCAAATTAGGCCATTAGCAGCTCCTATGCTTAATGTATCAGAATTTGCAAGTCCTCCACTTGTTGAGAAATTCGTTACAAGCCGAGGAGTTGCAAATTCTGATACATTTAGCATAGGAGCTGCTAATGGCCTAATTTGCGAAGCAAGGACGCAATGAGAAAAGACAGATAATGGAGGTGGGGTGAATGGCATGTAATCACAAAAACTTTTAGCAAATTTAGGATAAAAACCAAAGCAAAGTTTTATAATTACGAATGATATGCCATTATAGCTAATGTTATGGTCGCTACATTTATCAAGTTAACAATTTAAATCAGATTTCACCATTCTTGTTCTCTCCATAGGTACACTTTAAGCTTATAAGATTATGGACAATATCTACTACTAGCATTTCATCAACCATACGCAAATTTGTTTAGCTATGTCCCTCCATTGACTTTGTCCTATCACAATCACATGCTTCTTTGATGCGGTAAATGTTGATAGAAGTATGGAATACCGTGACCTAACATATAACATGAAAATTAAGAAGTCAATAGGACATTATAACGTAGATTGCATTTAAGTTTCTATCAATAATGTTACCTTTGGAATTGAATATAAAATGTGTCGACAACGGATGGATCCAATTAGACGAAGGACAAGGAATTGTGAACGAATGACTTCCCTTGTGGCTCTATAGTAAGTAACAAAGAAGTAATGAAAATGCTATAATAAGTATACCAACCACCAAGAGTTGTGAATATGTGAATGGTGAATATGTGGAAGATTCTTCTCGTTAAGCTGCATCAACATGAGGTGCACCCACTGGTATACTGCTATGCCTCGCTGTTGGTCGCTTCCCTTTGCATGTTGAAGGTGCTTGTATGTCCATTTGAAATAAACGATAATTTATTTTAATATTCACTTGAAGTTTGTAGGAAAACAAATCAAAATACCTTTGTCTTCTTCGAAGTCGACTCCAACGGGCTCTCCCTCCGAAGTTTCTAGGTGTGCCATTTCTCTTTACCACTTTAAGATCCAATGCGCTCATGTTGTACGCATTTTGTGAACCAGTACTCTGCGATCCTAAATGAATTGTATGATGACTACAAAATTTTGTTTCCAGTACTCCATTTTTTCATCAAAAACTCTTTAGACTAAACTTGTATCCATTCCATTATCGCACGGGTCCGTACTTCAACATGTGCCACAAGGTTTACCACCTCGGCGAAAGCTTAACACATATGTCATACTTCAACTATCCTGGAGTACTTACTAGATCATCATATTTTATTGCGATCCTCGTGTACAATCAATTGACATCCCTCATTCACCTACAAAGTACATACTTAGTAGGTAGTATAGTGACGTCGTTACGGATTAATACTATGATCACATGCCTGCAAATGATTTAGTGAAACTCGAACAAGTGGTAACTACAAACAACTTCACGTTTATCTCTCTGAAACAAGACAAAATGTTTTCTTTTCACGTCGATCGATGCAAACGACGTTTTCTCGTACCTCATATGTCGTCCCAAAACATCCCTCAGAGGCAGATATGAGGTTGCGGTAAACCTTATCCGTAAACTCAGCTAGAACTTTTTTGAATTTTGAAATTGTGTAGACTTTTTGAAATTGCTTTTCCATTTCATGTGTTGTTGCACTCGGAACCATTGGAGAGAACGACTTGAAATTAGCATGGAGCTCCTTCTCCACCTTGTTCCTCAATGCTCACTCATACTGTTCAACAATTCGTTTCAACGATGTCTTCGAGTGCAGGTACCCATTGAAAAATACGTTCATGCTCTCACTTGGTTGACCCAATCCAAAAATTTGTTTTTAAGAAGCAAAGGACACAACGACCTTTGTTCTCATATAACCCCGACAACCATTTGTTATCATGCAACTCAAATGTTTAGATCATCGATCCCCGACCTTGTTCAAATTCTTCAACCGTCTGACAATCCTACACCTAACCATTTATTACTAAGAATATTGAACCTTTATTGATGTGGTACCCAAATTTTTCAGGCAACTTCTTCAGAATGTGTCATTAGCACCATCTATACTTTGTATTTAAGAAAACTACCTGAATGACATTTGCATTGCCATGTCTTGATCAATAATTATTTCATGTGGAGCTTGATCGTGCATACATTTAAGTCATGTCCTAAAAAACCACACAAATGTATCCGTGCTTTCATTAGAGACTAAACCACTACCGAACAATGTTGATTGTCCATGGTGTTTGACGCCAACAAAAGGTGCTAAAGGCATGTCATATTTGTTAGTCAAGTAAGTGGTATCAAATGTCACGACGTCCCCAAACTCCTTATATACTTCCCTATATCGATTATTTGCCCAAAATATATTCTTAAACTCGAGTTGTTGTCCAAATCCATACAGAAGTAAAATCCTGCAGACCGTGCTTGCATATTTGAAAAATAGGACTATATTGCTCCTGCATTTCCTTCTCCAAGGCTTAATTGCCTAACTTGTTTAATGTAGTTTCTACAATATTTTTCAATGCATGTCATATTTTCATATCCATCGACTTCGACAACTACAGAATTGAAATTTTTGTATAATGGAATTCCAGCCATGTCATTCACTTCAAGCTTCTTTTTCACATCGCACTTAGTTATCAATTGCATCAATACAATCTCCACTTCGTTGGACTTGTTTTGTGATTGTGATCGAGGTGTACCATATTACTTCTCTAGTAACCATGATTATCTGCAGACATAGAGACCCTGGCTTTACAACCCATTCGAATTGTAGGCTGTGGCTTCAAAGAACCGCTTGTGTTACGTTTTTTCAACCTCTACATGTGAAAGTCACGTATCGCAAAACTCCATCGTCATCCTTTCTCGAATTCCTTTTTCTCATTGAAAAACCTATGTTGTAAGCATATAACTTGTAAAAATCAAAGACTTCATTTTTGTTCTTGAACTTCATACCAACCTCTGGCACAATCACTCCATCTCCCCCCACCGTTTGACTTTCAACTACATTCATATTGTACTCCATGTTGACATTTTCGAAGTCCATCAAAGAATTACTTTCCACTTTTTCCATCATCTATTCTCCCAAGACAAAATTAGCGGACACTTTCAATAAAACATCACTTCTCCATAATATAACATTTCCAGCAAAACAATGATATCAACATAAGAGAAAATGGATTGAAGCAACCGTTCATTGTTGAACTTGTAACAAATATAATTTCATTCACAAATATCACCTTCAGTCACTAAACTACCAAGTAAATGAGTTCAAACATCTTTAAACAGCAAACTACTTCGAAATAGGTCACACAATAGGTTAACCATTTCAAAATATGACCCCAAACAATAACAAGTATCTGAAAACAGCAAGGATACCTTTACTGCCATATCGTTCATATAAAACACAAATACCCAATAACTTGGGGCTACAAATCTGAAAAGAAGCAATGTTCTTTTCCAAAAGTTTCATACTTACATAAATAATTGAAATGGTGAAAACTTAAAATACCATAGGAAAAGAAATAGAAACATAAGAAGAACAGAACATTTTTCAACAAATGCAAAATTTGAAAATATACAAGAGCGCATAGAATACAAGAAATGCACAGCACCTAAAAACCCTTTCAGTAAAAATTAATTGAAATCTAACCCTTTCTATCGAAATTAATTGAAATTTTGGACCTAAAAACCTTCAAAAGAGGGAAGAGATTACCATAAAAGCCCAGATTCTTCAAAAGCAGGCAAGGTTCTCTTTGATTAATCACATACTTTTACCAAGAACACCAATGGAAATCATCGAGATACAAAACAATCAAATATACAATGGATTGTTTCACACCGTCAAAAGAATTCCGGGAAAAAATCAAGCTTGGACTATTCCAAATAGATTTTGAAACAAAATCTTACCAGAGAATCATTGAGAAACGAGAGAAAAATTCAAAGTCGCAGATGAATGGGTGAGAATGAATTAGGGGCTTCGGTTGAGTTTTATTTTTATTTTTATTTTTATTTTTTCCCTTCCGATAGAAATGACGCCTCTAAGCCTCTAAAATGATTTCCTCCCTTATTGAAGTGGACTTCTTGGAAAAGTCATTTTTTTCCCATCTTAGCTGTCCACGCTCACTGCTTCCCAACCTTAAATGAAATGTTGTGACCCAATGTTATAACACCATGTTGTACAAGAAACATTTTTCGAGAATCTTTTTTTTTTTTTTTTTTTACAAGGTGTCCAATTCTTGACTAATCCTTGGGTCTGTGATCTGGCCCCTCTTCACACAATCTGGTTAATCGCAGGATGTGCCTCCGACTGGCCAGGGTCCGAGCGCTCCCCACCTGGTCTGACAAAGTGCCAAGCAAGCCAATCCAAGTTGCACCTTGCCTTTCAAGAATAATCCTTGCCTTCCAAATTCCCACTTGCCTTCCAAGAATAAATCCTTGCCTTCCAAATGTTCCCTTGCCTTCCAAGAATAAATCCTTGCCTTCCAAGAGCCCCATGTTTCGAACTCACGACCTCTGCTCTGCCAGGTTTGACAGCGTCCTTCCTTTGCCAGTGGAGAAGTGCCCTGGGGGGCCATTTTTCGCGAATCTTTTCAATATCATATTTGGTAGTACACGTGAATTTAACCTAGTCTCAACTTTAGGCACTAGCATAATCTACTGTTTGACTCGTACAACAAGCAACCATTGATTTCTTTTCCTAATTTGTGGGCTAATTATGGTGGTTTTACTCCCTCGTCTTATTTATATAGGCTACATTTCCTTATTTTCTTGTCCCAATTATATAATATTGTTTCTTTATTGAGAATATTTTGTTTTGTTCGTTTATTAATATACCCTTTATTAATTTATCTAGTTATAACAAATTTTTCCCGCCTGATCTTGAAATTGTACAAATATAAATAAGGGTAGAGTAGAAAAGTTTTGGCAACAATTGTTTTTTCAATAACATTAAATAAGATTTCTCAGTCCGCGTGAAAAGCAAAACAAGCCTATATAACAAATGTATGTCGTAAGTAATGTTCGAAATCGGAGGAGTTTTCTTCTCTTTCAAACTTCCCGAAGCGAAAGCCTTTTAACCATAGTTGGAATTTCCTCTATATCTATAGAAGCAGCAGGCATCGGTCCGTAGAACCTATAAAAAGGAGATGGTTGTGGCGCGAAGTACTCTTGTGCACCTATGTCATTCGACTCGCGCAATGTTATAACTCCAGTACGTAAGGAAGGCTTATTCTAGCCCAAGAATTTTTTTCATATATAGAGAGTAAGGGCCTTGCCCTCTGAGATCTTGGGAAATACTATCCAAAATAATGATTAAAGAGGAGCACGTGGGTTTCAAAAATCCATGGCCAGCTAATGCCAGATCGGAAGCTACTGCATTTAGGGATGTAGGAGAATGTTGACTTCATGGGTAGGGAGTTAGCTATTTCTCAAAAAAGTATTTATCTATTTCACCGATCAAACATTGTTTCATGTGTTAAATGGAACAATGATGATTAGATCAGCGTGTTATTGCTTCAAGAGAAAGTCCCGTCAAGGTTCACTATAAATCCCTCTTACTTTAAAAGAGGGAATCTGTTGGTTACTATTCATTCACGATGTATTTTGTTTTCCGCTTTCATCCTCAAAGAAAACAAAAAAATACTGACTTCGTTGGTAGTCATTTCAACCAATTTTGTGTGGGAAATTTTTACCCTTTCAGAAGTTTAATTGGGCCGACATCTTTAAAGTTCCCTATCAAGAAAGGACAACAATTGCAACTGTATTTATTATATAGAAAATATCATTATTGTGGCCAAATTTGCAAAGATTGGTCAACAATGTATTTATTTTTATAAAGTGATAAATCTTCTTTTACTTGAGATTTGTTTAAATCGGTCAGCAATGTCATGCAAAAAGATCCCCTTTACTTTAAAAGAGAGGATCCAACAATTACTATTCAACTCGAGGTAGCAGTTTCACACTGAACTGGTTTTGTACTATAGCAGAACTCGTTATGCACTATTCATCACAAAAAAAGGTTTTTCTAGAAACAATAATGAAATGTGCCTGCATTATTGCTGTCTTTGTTGACTTTATATAATCATTTGCTGACGGTTACTGTAGTTTCACTTAAAAAATATCATCTCACTTCGTTAGATGCTGTAGCTTCCAGAAATGAAATTAATGAGACTACTTTATTGCCTCCATTGTTGACTTACACAAGTGAGTAACTGTAGCTATCACTTCCAAAGAAAATCTTCTCATGCATGGTGAGAGAGTGCGGCAAAAATTATGGCAGCGAATTGTAGGAATTTTTTATCATGCTAGTTACTATTTATTCAGGAAGCATTTCATTATTGCCCATTTTACCCTTACATGCATATCGATGAGCCATTCACTCCTAATCGGGTACAGCAATTTTTTTTCCTTGGGTAATTGATTTTGTGTTTTATACAAATCTATTTTTCCTCATTCGGAGTAAAATAGAACTTTGAAAAAACAGTTTGTTTATTTCTTTTAGATAATAATTATTGTTTTCAAAATTTACTTATCGACTAAATATGCACTAATTTTCTGAATTATTGACATGCTTTTAATTATGTAATCCTTAATTGATTATAAATTCTAAAAAAAATTAAAGAAGAGCCAATGTTGGAGCAAAACAAGTCCGTAACGAAATCAATCACTTAAGGAATGAATTTGGAAAAGAAAAAGAATAAATAAAATAAATCAATGTTAGTTCACCTCAATTTTATGTTACTATTAAAAGAAGAGAATAACTATAATTGGGGATTTGGAAGGGAAAACATTGGATTTTGACCTCGAAAACGATGCCCACCCAACAAAGATAGGTGGTCACGACGTGCGCGTCGAAATGAGCTTTTCGAATTGGGGTCATGGGCGCAATTTTGATGCATGAAAACTCCGCGCAGGGTGGAGTGTCCAATTTTGTTAAATTTTTTTTATTACGTATTTTTGATAATTTGGCCATAACTTTGGCTACGGTTATCAGAATCGCCCCCATGACCCCAATTCGGAAAGCTCTTTTCGACACACAAGTCGTGGCCACCAGCTTCCTTGGGTAGGCATCATTTTCGAGGTCAAAATCCACTGTTTTCCCTTCCAAATCCCCAGTTATAGTTATTCTCTTCTTTTTACGGCATCTTTTATTTCTAAATATTTATCCTACGTCAAAAAAATAATTGACGTCATACACTTTTTTTTTGAAAAAAATGATGTAAATTATACTGAGAAATTATCGCGCAAAAATAATAAATATTAAGAAAGTAATTGATTTTTTAAGAAAAAAGACGAATTATATTCATTTTTGAACACATACGTTTGATGTACATTTAACTATTTTCGATATTCATTTAGATCATTTGATGTGTCTATAATATAGTTCTCGAAATGAGCTTTGAGAGAATATAGAGCATTTATGGATTCGACTATCATATAATCGTCGATGGATTTTTAAAGTTAGCCTGTTATTGAAATTTTTAATTTTTTGAATGACGTTTCTTTTTATACCAAAAATAATTTAAAAGTTTATTAGGAAATTTTCTAAATCACGTCAACAATTTTATTAGATTATTTACAAAATTAATTTTGTAGTAGTAGTGATATATTAATTAAGTTGAAAAATTAAAATAGGATTGAAGGATAAAATGGGAAATAAAAATACTTCACAAATGAACAGTAAATGACATATTAATAATGATTTTCAGAAGTGAAGTAGGATAATATGGGATATTCAAGGATAAAATACGGATTATTTCTTATTTCATAATCATTTTTTTTTATGTCATTTTCTCTTTGGGTCAATAAGTACAGTTTTACAATATTTGGAATTGTTTCATTTAAAAATCACAATAGAAGTTCTTACAATTTATATCTCTTCAATTCTATTTGCTGATTGGATTAATAAAGATTCATTTAGAAAAAAAACATTTCATTACTAATTTATTTGTTTTTTTTTTTTGTATTCCAATTTATAAATTATTCTTCGAAAAGTGAAGGAATTGAATTCTGAAGCTCATTCAAGAATTTGTCCCTATTTTTTTCCTAGCAAAATAAAAGAGGTACTGTTCATCCGATTTTGTTTGTTTCTAATTTTTTTTTTTACACGGCCTTATCGATTTTCTGCAATTAATGTAAATGTATCAGGTTTTTTTTTTTTTTTTTTTGCCTTTCAATCAACTCTCCCATCTTTTCACAGCTGTATCCCTCTTTTATTTTGTTAGGATTATTTCTTCTCACCATCATTTCTCTCTCTTCTCACTGTTATCTCTCTTCCTTTTTTTTTGAAGAATCTTCTCCCCCTCATTTCTCGGCATATTTTGAAGAATCGATTTTCACGGACCTTGGAGGAACTGTGTCATATTCTGTAAGTTTATTCATCAGTGCTTCGATTTCTTCTTTTTTTATATATATCTTTCAGTCTTTCAACTATCTTCTCATCATCATTTTTCTACGCATTTTAAAGAATCAATTTTCACAGGGATTGGAGGAACTTGATTCTTCGATTTTCACAAATCGTTGAGGAACGGGGTCATAATTTGTAAGTTTAGTCATCAATGCTTTGATCTCTTATTTTTTTCGTATATTAATTTATTATTTTTCAGATTTTGGAGTCGCGTTGTTTAATTTATGCTACTTTCTAGGTTTTCCCCTTTTTTTCTTCATTTCATCTTTGAAGGAGCTATCTCCAAAATACGTGCAGTAATGTTTAAGGGATCATTAGGTTACTGTAAATTTGTTTTTCAGTTTCTTCAAATGTGGTTTTCAATATGAAATTCCTTTTTCAGCCTTCAAGTTTTGATCCCAAAATATCTATAATTACACTTTAGGGATTGTTAAAGAATTTATGGTGTTGTGTATGTGCTCTTGCTTCTTTCAAATGACTTGTGAATATGTTTTTTCATGTTAAGCTGAGTTTAATGTCAAATTTTTTTACCTTCTCTTGCAAAATTGAATTCTAACTATCTAAAGTTTGTTATTTTGATGGAACGCCTTTTCTAGGCTTCCTTTTTGTTCCTCTGAATTTGATCTTCACATTGGATGAG